TCTGCTCTTCCTTCTTCTCTCTGCAGGTGGAGCTGATGATGGTAAACAGGACGGTGAGAGAGGATGAGCTGTGTCCCGATTTGATTTTTTATTTGTATTTGTTTTAATGAAATATATGACATATACTCTGTAATCATATATACTTGTATACACCATACATATACATACACCCGAGTGTTTTATATGATGGAATCACTGAGCATTTAACCTATATGCTGAAATCACAAGACCCAAAGGTCAAATATGGAAGTCCTAGTACAATAATATTTGACCCAAAGGTCAAATATTATCTACAATTATATTAATAAAACTTTGTGCCATTTGCTTTATGAATACATGTTGATCAATACTGTTTGAAACATTGTGTTAAGGCCAACAGTGACTAGCCCAAACATGGGGTTAATTCAACTTGCCAATGCTAAAGTATGGGACCTCTTTTCTCTGCACTCATTTGTGCTTATCATTTTTGGCCCCACTGGGTATGCACCTGGGGTGCTGTTTTCTCGCCTCAACCACCAGTAGGTGAGAAAATTTCTTTCTTAGCATAGATAGCAGTTTACTTCAGGTAAGCGCACCTAACAAAATTGTCGAATTGATTAACTTGAATTGACACTGCAACCTTCCACGCCATTCAAGTCACCGTGTGTCCAACCAACGCGTAGTTAGTGCAGGAGGTGCACGTCAGGTCACGTGGAAGGTTACGGCGTAAGTTACTCAGATTACTCACAGAAGTCTAAATCAACCTTCAGTCTGAGTCGAGTCAGCCGAGGTTCAGAATAGTGGATCCTCACATCGCTCATTCAGAGACTTCCTCAAGTGTTTGTGTGAGTACAGAGAGACGCAGCTCTGCTTTATTCATAATTACTAGTCAATAAATGGGCCTACAATCATTTTATAGCACAATCACATGTACGAGTGTCATGTGACCTGGGGTAGAAAAATATAGAAGTCCTCCCTGGCTGCGTCTACATCACAGCTCAGAGGTTCAAAGGTCTTAATGTCCAGCTTTATGTGATCAAATATGATCAGAGTGCTGAAACAGAACTTTTCTCTGTTTCCTAATAATAAAGAATTGTCATTGTTAATCAAAGATAAATGAGTCCTTTGTGAGAGGAGCAGGTCAGCAGGTTGGATCTAAGGTTCATGTTGAAGACTCCAGCAGAGACACTAGAGGGGGAACCTCAGTCCAACCTGTGAACCTGTCAACTGATTGTGTGATTTTTGGCTTCATCTGCTCATTGTTGCTGTGTTAGATGGTTCATTCAGAAGGATTTGGATGACATCACACTTCCACTCGAGGCCCAGCTGCTCTCCTGCTAGGGGATTATCATCAACACAGAACTCGGGGATAAGAGCATCTTTAGGCCTGGCTGACCTCTCCTCACCAAAGAGAAGAACAAACTCAGCATTAGCTAAGAGTAGCTTAGTTACATCAGTAGAGTTTAAGTCATCTGATTATTATTATTTGATTTTGCTAAACTGTTTTAATAAAGTTTCCTGTAATGAAAGTGTAAATTGTAAATTTTAAATCTTCTTCCACTGATCTGTGAAGTTGTCACTATATCAGTGAGTTCCAGCAGAAGCAGAAGGAAAGGATTCAGTAATGACTGAGCGTTTGGATTCAGGGATCAGTCCTGGAATCTGGACTGCTCTGATGATGCTCCTCCATCTAAATTATTCAATGAAATCATCTGCGTCATTTTCTCCTGCTGTGAACTCAGGGATCCTCTCAAAGCTCAAATCCAAACCACTGAAGAAACTCTGCTGGAAAGAATTCAGCATTGATTTAAAAACAGTGACAGTTTATGAAATTAAGTCATCAAAATGATGCAACTTGTTTCAGATATTTAGGATGATGAACATTTCTGCCCTTTACTGAGGCCACTTTGTCCATTTAATGAAAGTGTCATGAACAGTTAGCTGTGACATCATCAGTACAGAATAGTTATGGTGAAATCAAACTGTTTATGATATTTCATTGACAGCACTTTAAAGTCTGAAGGACGTCTTATTTTGTTGAATCCTGCTGTTGAGGGGACGAATCAAGCGTGTGCAGTTTGGGAAATGACAAATATGATATTGTACCATTTTAATCCTGCAAACATTTGTTTGATTTGATTTCTCATTGGAGCAGAAAGAAAGACAGGATGGTGTTTAAAAAAGCCCACAGCTGTGGAGTGGAGCTTGTTGTTGGTGTCTCTGTGTGAAGAAACTGTAAGTTTGCTTTGTTTCCTCCTTTAACAGTTTGTCTTTAGGAACTTCACTGTTTGTTCAGCTCATGTTGGATTTCTTCACACAACACACTGTGTGTGTTTGTATTAACGTCAGTGTGTAATGTTTTCCTGGCTAACATCAGCTGTGTGTCTTGAGCTGGGAGAGAAAGTTAACTGGTTCTTTATGTCCATGTAAACAGCTGGAGATAGAGAGAGGAACATGAGGGATTTTCTCTGTTTTCATACATGGAGTTCCAAAGTAGATGAAACATGTGTAACTTTGTTTCACACTATTACGAACTGTTAGCTCTGCTCTATCAGACTGTTTATGGTGGAACAGGTTTCACTGGTTTTAAACTGGGACTCAGACTCAGTTACTTGTTGGTTCGTCACTCAAACCATTTAAACATGATCTAACATCAGTCATCAAGTTTCTATTCAATAGAAATCACAAACATGTTTGAATTTATTCACAGTAGATTTTCTGTCTCATTAACAGATATTTTCTGTTCATAGAAAAATGTAAAGTTCTCTTTATATGACCATTGTGATGGACCAAGTTAAAAAACAGGAGGAGTCCCAGGAATTATTAGAAAAATAGTTTTTCATTTATTTAACCCCCAAAAATTAGGTTTACAAAAGTAATAAATGTTGAGCTCATAAAAGAGGTCAAAGAAACAAAACTAAACTCAGGCAAACGTAACAAACCAAATGACTTTATATTTCTATACTGTTGGATTAAAACAATTCTTCTGCAGAAGAGGCATTATACACAGGATCATCTGACCATGGAGGACCTACCCAAAGAAGTTCATACTGACATAAATGTCTACAGTGTGAAAATGGATGACATAAGTTATGGATACCTGGAAGCAGCAGAGAACAGTCCTCAAAGAAAAAAGTGGTGGTTGCCTCTTGCTAGTCGCCTTGTATGTCTGTCAACAGATGTGAACTATGCTTTGCTCATGGTCTCACCTGAGTGCATTGCAGTTTTCTGTGACAAATCTGGGAGGTATGGATTATTTGATTCACATTCAAGAAGTGCAGCAGGTTTACCCCAGCCAAATGGAACAGCAGTCATGCTCACTTTCACTCATGTGAATGACCTGATCACCCACCTGCATAACCTTTTTCAAAATCAAGGCAAGTATGCAAGATATGAGTTTGTGCCTGTTTCTTTCCAAAGAGTCAGCACTCACACGACGTGGGAAAGCTATTCGTCAAGCTCAAAAGTCACAAGCAGCATGTAAAAGATAAAGAAAAATCTTCATCTGAAGAAGTGGTAAAGAAGATAAACAAAAAAAAGACACGAAAAGGAACGATATGCCTGCTGTCATGAATTTCGAATGGAAAAATTACAGACTGTGAAAACTCAATATGCTGAAAACTATCATCACCATAAACAAAAACTGTTATCAGCCAAAGATTATTATGCAAATCCTCATATTCAAGAGAAGATAAAAGCCCACAATGTGAAGAGATACCAAAATGATCCTCATTTTCAACAAAAAAAGAGACACTACATTATCAGAAGATATACCACAGATCCTGAATTTCAAATCAGACAGAAAAAATATGTGGTTCAGAAGTAAATTACGGATGTCAGCTTTCGAACCAGAAAGAAACAATATGTGTTCCAAAGATACAACACAGATACTGACTTTCGAAGCAGACAGAAGCAATATCTGGTCCAAAGGTACAACACGGATACTGACTTTCGAAGCAGACAGAACAAATACATGGCCCAGAAATACAGAGAGGATGATGTCAGACAAAGGAAGAGGGCATACATAAGAACAAAATATGCATCTGATCCAAATTACAGGCACAAACAACAAAAATCAATTCATGCCTGATATCATAATGACTCATAATTCAGACTGCACCATATACAGCGCTGTGCCCAGTACCAGAGACACAAAATGGCTACCAAGCCCATACATGGGGCTGTTGTTTGTGTACCATCAGATGTGGAAACCACAGTAAACTGTCTTCCCAGACCTAGCAATGAAGCCCAGCTCCTGCAGGTACAACTGAAAAGACACATCAGATTCAAAGGATACCAACACTTCTACACTGTGAACATGAAGAATGTGTTAGCACGATTATCAAAGCTAAAAGAGATGCATTCAGAATACAAAGATGTATCTATTGATGATGAAGCTACTTTTGCTGATCCCACAAATAATCAGATAATTGAGACGGAACATGACACTGCTCATGCAGATATTCAAGATGCACTGCCCAGAAACTTCGACCACCAAATTGTACCAGAAAGAAGAACCACTGAGGATATAACAGCTGGACTGCTTGAGTCATGTCATGATGGAAATGAACTAATGGAGCCTGAACAGTCAAATGGAGAGCCATTACAAGATATGGAGAAAGAAAAGGAGGAACTTCGACCTGGTCTTGTTCTAGACACCTGTATGCAACCACCAGATATAGCACAGGAAAAGCTACCTATTCTTTGCACAGTTTGTAACAGAAACATACTTGGCTACAAACAGCATGTCCATCCAATTGCGCAAAGGAAAGGCAATCACCAAGGATGGACGTAAAATTTGTAACAGAATGCTTCAAAATAAAGACGAAGTGGAGAGACTGATAAATAACAAAGATGCAACACGATTCATGAAACCTCTGAGAGGTACTCCAGCCTATTGGGAGAAGGCACTGAAAGATCTTCATGCTATGGTCAGACAGTTAGGAAAGCCAACTTTTTTCCTGACATTTTCAGCTGCTGAAATGAGATGGCCTGAGGTTGTTGAGGTCATAAAAACTCAACAAGGTGAACAAGTGGATTTTTTACAACTTGACTCGAACACAAAGTGTGAAATTCTCCGAAGCAACCCTGTGACTGTGATGCGATTGTTTGAAAAAAGAGTCAATGCACTAATGACAACACTGATCCTGTC